AGAGGACCTTGGAGGCAGGGGCTTAGGGCAGATTCCCCCCCGGCGCTGCCTCTCAGAGCCCGCCTTGCCGGGGCATCGCGCGGTGTCCCCTGCTCTGTGCTGAGCACGGAGGAATGAACCCTGGAGTTTGCTCTGCAGCGGTACGTGTAGCTGCTGGCCGCGGGGGAGAGGCCGTATGCTGCTTCCTGAACCGTTCCTGCCGTCCGCTGTGCCGCCCAGGGACTGCGCGCTCCCCTTCACAGAATCACAGAATGGTAGGGGTTGGAAGGGACCTCTGTGGGTCACCCAGTCCAACCCCCTGCCCAAGCAGGGGACCCCAGACACAGCTGTAGAGGACCTCGTCCAGGCGGGTCTTGAATATCTCCAGAGAAGGAGACTCCACAGCCTCCCTGGGCAGCCTGGGCCCGGGCTCCGTCACCCTCAGAGGGAAGAAGTTCTTCGTCATCTTCAGCTGGAGCTTCCTCTGCTTCAGTTTGTGCCCATTGCCCCTTGTCATGTCACTGGACACCACTGAAAAGAGCTTGGTCCCATCCTCCTGACACCCACCCTTCCGCAGACCACGCGAAGCCTGGAGGCTCTGTACTCAGCTGGGTTGCACCGAGCACGTTGTGGCACAGATGCGTGAGGAGAAGTTGCTGGAAAAGATACTTATCTTGTAATTTTTTTTTTTTTTTTTTTGAACTCAAGGCTTTGCAAAGTCAAGGCCTCAAACAAAGCTACAGCAACTTCAAACGAAGCTGCAGCAACATGAGAAAGCTCGAGTTTGCGGTGCTTGTATTTAGAGTACTGCAGCCAAATTCTGTCAGCTACTCGGTATACTTCAAGGGTCGTCCGTAGGCGTCAGAGAAGATCTCAAGACAATAATAGTGCTCTATTTTAGCATACTCATTACAAAGTATAACTGCCCTCTGCCTCTAGCAACTATTTTTTCCTCGTACTCAGATGGTGCAGAAGTGGAAAGGCCGTCGTCATAAGCAGCAGTATTGCCTCTGCCTAATTCCCTCATTGTCTTTTCAAATGAGACCTTTTTCGTTCTCCGTGGTCTCTTCTAAAGAAAATAAGCTTCAGCAAAAAGACGGTTTGCAGTGGTGTGCTTGTAATTACTGGTGTATTCATCTTGAAGAAAAAGCAATCAGACTCCTAGGCTTTTTGTGCTGACGGGGACCTGCGCTAGGAGCCTGATGCCTTTGCGTGAGAGGTGACGTAGTTTTGAAAGAAGTTGAAAGGCTGTTTACAAATGATGAGGGAAGTAACATCTCGGCATCGCTGGTGTAGAGTAGGAGCAGGACAGTGGGTTCCTGTCCACATCCCGATTTCTTCAGTCTCCTGAAGTGATGGGCCGGTAACACCTCTGAAGAGCGTGGATTTTGCTGGATGTCCAAATAAAAAGGGCAAGAGGATCTTCTGAAACCCTTCTGGTGTCAATGCAGGAGGGGGATGCTTTCAAGTGCTTGGCCCTGAAGGTGGCTGTGGTGTGGACAGGAGCCCCTGTCACGGCTGGTCCCCCCGTGCCTGGGCAGCTGAAGATGTTCTGCAAACCGTGGGTAGCACCAGGCATGTGAACCGTTGCTCAGGCCCTGTGGTTGCAAGGTGGAGGCTCCTGAAAGGCGTTGGCCGCCTTCTGCCGCAGGTGCTGAAGAAGGAAGAACCTTTTAATGTGTTGGTCGGTTCTTCTTAAACAAAGAGAAGTGCTCAGCTCGCCTATACTGGTTTTAATTTTACATCTTGTGATGTTTTTTCACTCTGTTTTTTCCTGAAGAAGCAACAGTTCTTTGATGTATTCCTATGCTGTATCAAAGCAACTTTAATAAAAAAGTTAAATGAGATGTCTTTATTCAGAATACAATATTGTTTTTCTGTATACAGGTTGTATTTTCCCAGTTACAGCTTACTCCTGGACTCTGAAGGGCAAGATCCACCTGTGATCCCATTGCTTTGACCAATGTGGAAGGTTATTTTCTGGCCTTCCCTTTGTCTGTATATAATCTTCAGAAAAACTCTGTGCTCCCACTTCCATTGAGGTCTCCCTCCACTGTTTCCTGTAGATGCGCCCAATAAATATTTAATAAAGAGGGACATTAATTCCTCGTGCAATATGACCTATCCATTAACAATTCCAAAGTGCTCTGTGCTCCTGTTCTACGGCAGCCAAGGAATAAGTAAATCCTCTCCACCCTGTTGTGAATGTGTCTAACATAAGACTTTTTAAAGCAGAGGGGGCTGAGGATGTGCCTGTATCCTCCGGATGACGAAAGGAATCATGACAACCCTAAAGCCTGTAAATGCCAGAAACATCAATAGTACCTTGATCAGTCTAACACGTCAGCCCGGTCTGTAACTCTGCCCCTGGGAGAAGGAGCCTTCCAGCCAGAAAGCTGTGCTGTTTGGGATGCAGACAGTGTGAACTTGTCTTTATTTTGGTAAATGCTCCTCACAATGCCATAGCTCATCGCTGGGAAAGGTGTTTTTTTTAAAAAAAATCTTGTCTCCTCAATGATTTTGGTCACTCCAGGCATACTCTGTATTGCTGAACTTTCTGCTGTCCGAGTGCCGCTCTGCCAGCGTCGTGCATCTCCAACTCGAGTCAAAACCAGCCGTGACCTAGGTGGTAACGCTTGACTGTGATAGTTTGGGGAACTTTGAGATAAGAATGGCAAGGTACTGCTTACTAAAGGGAAGCAGCCCAATGAAATCATAGCGTTTAAATTCTGGGGTGAAATCTGCATGGATTCTTAGGAGGAGGAGAAAAAAGCCTTTGCCACTCTGTAATTCTGCTGCTAATCTGATTTCTACGTGATTGCATCCCATTGCATCAGTCAGCGCTATTTGGTGCAGTGCTGCTTGTGGGTTTTGAAAGTGCTGTAGATAAATGTAGCGTGGGAATAATCACTCAACTTCATTTTCCTGCTCTTTCTCTGTTAACACATATCACCAGTACTGACAGCTCTGCAGAACGGCAGAATCCAGTCCTTATGTCTACACAAACCCCATGCATGTGCATCATCCTGACAGGCTAATGAGGCTCCGCGGCGTGCGCGTCCTCTGCGTTGCCGGTGGGCAGATCTGAAATGTTACTGGCGAACGTGAATCCAAGTTGGAGGAGAAGTCCTGGAAGAGTTTTAATGCGGCTGCCTGGCCCCGCGTTCCCCTTTGGTTCGGCTGGCGTGCCACCGTGCAGGGTGGGAAGAGGCTCCAAGCGCAGCGCCCAGCAGCTGATGCTTTCTTAGAGTACCGAGCAATTAATCTGGGCAAGCATGGAGCTGTATGCGTACACTAATTAACAAGGAAAGCACCTTAGGCCAGCATAACAAGGTGGTGTGGGTGTCCTTCATTTTGAGATTGTTCTTTGTAATTGCAGCAATTTGGCTGACTTGATCAATGTAACATCCCTGTGTAGTCACGTAAGCACGCCATTAGGCAGGTATTCTTAAAAATAGGTTAAATGCAACGGGCTCTGCCCAAAAAAGTACCTGCCCTAGGGCACCTTGTTTAAATAAGAATGTGTAGTCCTGTGTAAACTGTCAGCAGTAATCCTTTTACAGGGCTGACTAAATTCTGAAGCTCTGACATGTAGACCGTTCTCTTCCTTATATAGGGCTGGATAAGCGCTGGGCAGTAATGAGATTGGAATAAAAGGCTTTGGTAACGAAGATGAACTGGCAGTCCCGGCTGAATCTTAAATTTATCCCTGCGTATTCGGGACTTCAAGCAGTATGGGCATGGGTCCGGCTTGCTGAAGTGGGACTTGATGCCTGTGTTTTGGAGCTTGTGCTTGTGAGTAGCCCTGCTTGGGCTGCAGATTCACCCTGATGGAAACCCCTGTGCTCTGTAGGTTTGCCTTTATTGAGGCTTTGCTCTGTGTGTGTGTGTGTGTAAATAATAATAAAAAAAAAAGCAGTTATGCATATCAAAACATTTTTAGTGTAATTTATTGCAATGGTTATTCCAGAGTGGCTGTGGTGGTTTTTATTTCATTGGAAGTTTAAACTTTATTTGTAGAAGCTGTTCTGTTCCGGAAGAAGAGAATCTATATGCGATACTGAATTAAGATAATTTTATCTGATTAATTTGCGGCTTATCTTATACTTGTGCAGACAGGATTATTAGTATTCAGCTTAAAAATATCTGTGGCAGTACTCTTTTGTGTAGTCAGATATGGTCAAGGAAAAAACGTCATCTCCACTGCCTTGTCTGTCCTTGATGAACTTAAACATCAGCAGCCTCAGTGCAAGAAAACCATGCTGGAAGTGCGTGAATCGACTGGCAGGTACCAGTCCTGGAAAGTCTCAGCCTAAATGGCTGATGTAGGTAAGATATGGCAGGAATCAAGAGAAAAGCAAAGGCAGCATCTGAAATTGTTTCATTTACTTTCATGTTTACTCTCTTAGAAAAGTCAGGGGTGAAATTTGGCAAAGAAAGGAGATTGGAAGGAGAGGAGACTGGGGGTTGATTGAGAGGGCTGCTGGCAGAGAGGCAGCAGCAATGTGAACTGAAGAAAAATGGAGTTGTTCTGCCCTGGCATCTCCACGTAGCTTTCGCGGTGACTTGATCTGCTCTGTTTTCTTGGAGGTACCGAGCCTGGAGGTGGGTGCAGGTAAGAAAGGGAGGAGATGAGTGGGTGGTTTGATTTTTACCTGGGTGCACCTGAGCTGTTTCTCATAAAGCAGTACAAGTCAGAGTGGGTGACCATGGAACAACTTAGAAAAATTTTTTTTGGAGAGTGACTCATTGCAACTTACCCAAAGTGACCTGATTTAGTTAAATGAGGCTAAATATAACCCATGTGAAAAGTACTGACATGTGGGAGGAGACGACAGCAGTTGGCTCTCAGCCTCTCTGTTCTGCAGGGAACATCTTTCACGACTGGTGACTAATAATTTTTACTCTTGCTGGCTTTGGAAATAACATCTCTGCTCCATTACCCGCTTCTGGGGAGATGAAAAAACCGCGCTGTTGCTAATCTGTTGCCTCTTATCTGCCTTTCTGAATTTCAGCTTACTGCTATGGACAGTGCCATCACCCTCTGGCAGTTCCTCCTCCAACTCCTCCAAGAGCCTCAGAACAAGAATATCATCTGTTGGACCTCCAACGACGGGGAGTTCAAACTGCTGCAGGCAGAGGAGGTGGCCAGACTCTGGGGAATCCGCAAGAACAAGCCCAGTATGAACTATGATAAACTCAGCCGTGCTCTCAGATACTATTACGTGAAGGTAACGAAGTCCATAAATCCACATCAAATCCTTATCCACCTTACCAGCTTCTGCCTAATGAGCTTTGTTTCCTTTTTCATTCTCTTCAAGGAGATAGGTGTCACTTCTGGACTTAAGGTGTGCTAATTTGTGTTTAGAGGAGGTTTCTTTCTTTTGTTTATTGTTGCGCTGCGTTTCCTCTCCAGTGGATATTTTATAAGCTTCTAGATAGCGTTGTGCGAAACGTTACCATCTTTGATTTATATCTTTGCTAATACGAATCTGGCTTTGAAAACTAATCCCCTTTCCAAAAATAGGCACCCTTGCAAGGGTTAAAATCCTCAGCTCTTCAGTTTGAGCAACAGAGTGAATATGGTGGTTGAGGCGGTGAATACCGCACCACCGTGAGATATTTTCTGCAATTGTCTGTACGAAGCGGCTGTCAGAATAAGGATTTTCAGTGAAGCAGCCCAAAGTATTTTTCTCCATGTATTCAGAATTGCACCTCTGATGTGGGCAGCGAGTTCAGTCCAGCAGAGTGAGATGCTGCTTTTGTTCAGCTAATGCCTTCTAATAACTTGCAAGAGCCTTTCATTAGTGCACAGGTAGTGTCGGAGCTGAGCTAGAACCAGAGCGTGGGAGTCTTACCTTCGTTTCAATAAGCCATTTATCCCACAACTGTTACTGTGTGGGTGTACGAGATAAAAAATAAACCTCGCCGTTTCTGAGGAACCTCTCGGTGTGTAGCAGGTGGTATGTTGCTGGGAGTTCATTACTGGGTAGCACAAACCTGACTTTGTATTGAGAGCTCTCAGTAATAACAACTGTACCGTAAATAAGAATCTTCTTGGGTCCAGACTGTGTGTGGCATTGCACTTAGGAGCAAAACAAGTTTGACATATGCTGTTTTGTGGTATTGAAATAGCTGATTAGCCTACATTCTGCTGACTAGTTCAGCTACTTATTTTCTTTTATTATCATCTTATTACGAATAAAAGTGGTTCAATTTGAAGTAATAGGTCTCAGTTCTGCGAACCTGTAAACTTTAATTCTGCAGGTTCTCCTGTTAGACCACTCTTAACTGTACCCAGCTCAGTGATCTTTGATGAAGGTAATGGGTATTTTTTTGTTTCTTAGCTGATCTTTTAAAATATGTTAAACAGAATTGCTTGGCAGTTTTAAGGCTGTTAGTATATTTAGTGTGAGGTTAAGCTCACCTGTTTTAGTGTTTTGTCTGTGAGCTCTGGAAATGATGCTTTGGGAGCAGGACTGAATTGGGAGAATGCAGTGGGTTTTTGAAAAAGAAAAAAGAAACAATTTTTGATGAAAGTTTACAGACTGTCTAATTCCTCAGTCTATTTTAGGCAGTGTTTGTAGGAAGAAAATTAATCTGAAGAAGGTCTAAATATATATATCTTCTTACCCACAGAATATCATTAAAAAAGTGAATGGTAAGAAGTTTGTGTACAAGTTTGTTTCTTATCCGGAGATTTTAAATATGGATCCACTTGTCGTGGGCCGTATAGAAGGAGACCCTGAAATGACTGGTTTTGCGGAAGTTAGCAGTGCTCCAAAGGATGTGGAAAACTGTGGGAAGGAGAAGTCTCAGTCCTGTGCTAAATCCTCCAGCCGCAATGACTATATCCACTCAGGCTTGTACTCCTCTTTTACTCTGAACTCCCTGAACTCTTCCAGCGTAAAACTCTTCAGGTCCATCAAGATTGAGAACCCAGCTGAGAAACTGACGGAGAAGAAACCCGCTCAGGATCCAACACCCTCTGTCATCAAGTTTGTGACCATGCCCTCCAAAAAGCCTCCCTCTGCCCCCCTGGTCTCTGCCACTGCAGCGGTCTCTGCCACTTCCACTGCCTCCGCCACTTCAACCGCACCCTCTCTTCCCATGGGATCGGAGGAAACTCTCCAGGCCTTGGAGACGCTTGTTCTACCCAAGTTAACTGTCCCTGAAGCTCCAGCACCTTTGCCAAACTTAACCACCAGCTTCACCCCGACTCCACCTATATCCTCGGTTTCTCCCACTCTGCAAGTTCCGTCCACACCCCCGTCGCCGCCCCTGAGCTCTAATCCTGACCTGGACATTGACACGGACATCGAGTCCGTGGCTTCTCAGCAGCTGGAGCAGGCTCAGAGCCTTCAGCATCAATCCCCAGAGCCCAAAGAGCAGGATTCCTCCATGCTGGAGAAGGAATTTGCCAATCACCTCTCCAGATCTAAAAAACCCAAAGGGCTGGAGTTGGCTCCTACTCTCGTCATTACAGGCAGCGATCCAAGTCCGCTGGGGATTCTGAGTCCTTCTCTCCCGACTGCTTCTCTTACTCCAGCACTTTTCTCTCAGGTAACCTAATGCCCTTCCTGGTTGGTGTTTGTTGTTTGTTTTTTTTTAAGTAACAATAGGGGTTATGTTATATTTTAAAACAGTAAGGGAAGGCAAGTGGAAAATGAATAGCCAGTAGATCGTGTTTGGAGTTCTGAAACTCAGGATGTCACTCCCATTTTCCGTATAAAACAGAAACTTTGTTCATAGTCGGTATTCGCTCCCACCCCAAAGTGTGCCCGAGTGGTACGTCAGCGGTGCACGTCTGCACAGCGTTCGCGTGTGGAGGCAGAACCCAAACCAGCACCAGCAGGATCCTTCCTAAGTCTTGCCAGGGTGATACTGGATTATTTCAAAAACCCTAAACCCTGCCCTTATCCTTCCGGCTGATTCTGAAAATGCTTTAAAAATAGAGAACCGTGGAGGTGTCTATTTAGCAGCTTGGTTTTGCTTGGTTTAATAGCCCTTTACTTAAGGCCAGAGTACTGTGACTTAACAGTAATAAGACCGGCTGCTTCATTTGGTGGTTATTTGTGTGTGGGAAAGGAAAGCTTTCATGCCTCGTGGAAAACATGGAAGAGAACTGAACCCACCTAGGCTGTTACATTGTTCTGCATACATTTAATCTCTTTCCTGCAAGAAATTAGAGTGAAACTGTAGGGAAGCTGCTGACTGAAAACTGAAATGGCTGAATACAGGAAAAAAAAGCCAAGTGCAGTTGCTCTTTTGGCACCCTTCGAAGTGTTTGGCCGGTGAACCTGGAACATCCAGAATATTCAGAACCTGGACGCACATTTCTTTGGTTGTGTCTTACATTGTCGGTGTCGCCCGGACCATGCGTGTGCCCAGTGGCTGCTCTTTCTAAATTCACGGACGGCGTTTTCCAGAGCCCCTCGCAGGTGCTGCGTACCGAACCGCAGGCGGAGCCCGTTTGCTGCGGCTTACGGCAGCGTTTGGCAGCAGCTGCTGCTCAGCAAGGGAGGGCGAGCCGGATGGTGGGGGTTGAAGGAGGAGGGGGAAGGAGGGAACGGGAGTTCCTGAGATTTGGACGCAGCCCTCCGCGGCTGTAGGAGCTGTGAGGTTGTCGCAGCTGGATTTGTGCGTGCTGTGCGTGACTGGCGGCTCAGGCTTCACGCAGCTGACTCTCGCCTTGTGTTTTGCAGACTCCCATCTTGCTGACCCCGAGTCCCCTGCTCTCCAGTTTTC